AAAAATAAAACAGCATAGAAATCAAAAGTAACAAAATAAGTAAAAAGAAAATTAATAATAATAATAATAATAATGTCGCAATTCATTTGTCGAATGTGTTTATCTAGTCATAAGTATAAGTATATTATGATTGGTGCTAAAAAAATGCAGAAAAAAATGAAAAAAAAAAAAAAAAAACAAAAAGAAAATAAGAATAAAAGTATGTCTGTTCTATTAAAATCTGTCTGATCGCATAAAATTATCGTAAAAGAGAAAAAAAAAAAATAAAAACCCCCTTTCATCTATTTATGTCGGATTCGATCATATAAGGACAAATGATCGATCGATTATATTCGTCGTGTGTTTTGTATGATTAGAAAAAAAAAAAAAGAAAGTAAGGAAGAGAGAAAAAGAAGAATAATTTATTATCGAAAAAAAATAAATGATTCTTTTTATTTGAGAATAATATATTTGAAAAAATTTGTCAACAATTCTACAGGGTGATAGGCCCTAAAACAGTTTCTGAATAGATCAAAACTTCCTATATGATTTTGCAAATTAATTACTATTTCTCGAGACACATCTTGATTATAGATTCAATTAAGCCTGCAATTGTACAAGTTAAATTTGTAATTGTGCAATTTGAAAAGAAAAAATTGGCATAAAAGGGTCTCGAAATAAAAGTAATCGATTTTTGAAATCACCTAAGTACTTTTGGTCCACTTAAGAACCTTTCGACTACAACCCTGTATAAAAAACAAAATAAACCAAATAGAAAAATTAAAAACTAATGAAAAAGAAAAACTACAAAATTCTTATCAAGTGCCTTTACGTATTTTTGTAATCTAAACTAATAATTCTAAGTGAATCCCATGAATAAAAAATAAAATAATAATAATAATAATAATACAATATATTACAAGGTAAACACGATTACTGAATATTTTATTAATGTTAATTAATTGTATACTCTTGGTTGAGAACTTCGAATTGAATCACAAATTATGGAAAATAATATAATTCTACGTATTTATTTATACGTACTTGTAATTAAACGTAATAAATTTTAAAAGAAGATACACGATCCCTCAGAGTCCGTTTAATGTTCGAATCTGAAAGCATCAATGATACAACATCTTTAAAAATGCGTCTTCTATTCGACAGTTCATGTAAACTTACATATATATATACATAATATACATACACTCACAATCGTCGAATAAAAGTCACCAAATCGAATCTATCCTTGTTATTCCCTTTTTTCTGATGATAAAAAAAAAAGAAATTCCCAAATGATTCTCATAAAGTTTGTGATGATTTTTTTGCCATAATGTCTGCACGATATAATGCATGACGTAAAATACTACTGCCATTTCTTGATTAATAATAATAATAATAATAATAATAATAATGATGATGATTGATAAATAGAACAAAAAAATAAATAAAATAACATCCAAATGGAAGAATCCAATGCATCTCTGTTCGTTGTGTATTGTAATTAATGCGATGGTATATAATCTCTGTTAACAACAAAAGTAAAGGAAAGAAAAAAAAAGAAGAGAGAAGAAAAAAAAAAGAAAAAAAATATACTTAATTATATTCCAGAGATAAAGTATTATTATTTAATCAAATGTGTGTGTGTTATATATTGTTTCACGATTTGATTGCTCGAGATATTGGTATCAAGGACCAACAAAAATTATATGGCACTAATCCCTTATATGGGATTATTATATTAAAGCAATAAAATAAATAAATCAGATGATGGTATTCAAAGCTTTACTGTTATTTTCATATTTTGTATGCATAAATAAATGTATGTGCAAAAAAAAAAAAATGCAAGAAAAATTACAAGTTGAAAATTTAGAAAATCCGAATTGCATAATTCATCCCTAATAAAATATTATAATATAACAAAACAATTGTGAATATTTTCATAGAATTTTGGTTCAAAGAAGGTAGTAAACATTTTTAACGTTTCTATTACCGAATTAATATATTAACTTTTTACAATAGGAACGAAGAAGATGAATGAAGTATTTACAACGAGAGGTAGATGAAAATATATTATAATTATCTGTATTAGGGTTCTTCATTGAAATACAAGGCATTGAAATCTTCTGCTAAAGAGAAAGAGAGAGAGAGAAAATGAGAGAGAATTCAAAAGCAAAAACACCTTATATACAATGCCTATTGTTTTTTTTCCAATAAAACGGTATATTGGCAACATTTTGAAACGTGAATTGAAACTGAATCTGGAACACCGATTAAGTCGACACACATAATAAATACATATATATATATATATATATATATATATATGCATAGAGAAAATGTGTTGATTATTTAGAAAGAGAAGAGAAATTTGCACTTTATGAATCATTTGATATTATGATGTTCGATGAAGATAACATAAAAAATATATATTTGATATATCTTGAAAATTGAATACATATAATTTTTTCATTTAAATATAACATATACATTGGTGGGTTTAACATTGAATATTTTTTGTCGATCATATCCACTTTTATTTTTCGATGTGGTTATATACTTTAAATTATCGTGCGTAGTGTTGTATTCACACCTGCGTATCGATATAGCTATGTATATTTTTTTTTCATATTACGAAAATCATGATATCAAATTACTTATAAAATCTTCTAAAAATACAGGTACATATACTTTGTCATAAGAGTCACGTATATAGAATCGTATCTAATCTGTCTTATATATCGATAAGACAGTATATTAAATACAATCGTTAAAATCTGTGCAACCACATTGTGTGTGAGTTCCAGTAAATCATAATTTGTGAAGATGCAACGTGTGACGTTAGTTGTTATCATTTTATCGTGCCTTCTTTCCGAAAGTATCGGTGAGATTAATATAGTACAAAACTATATATTTATTTTTATTACGAGATAATATAAAAGAAAAAAGAGAGAATAAAAAATACTGAATTGATTAATTTTGATACTAGGAAAAGTAGGTTTCGGTCCGGGTGAACAAGATTGGGGACATGTGACGGTTAGACAATATTCCCATATGTTTTGGTGGCTTTATTACACCACGGCAAACGTTCAATCGTATTACGAAAAACCCTTATTAATTTGGTTGCAAGGTGGTCCAGGTGGATCCTCCACTTCTTATGGAAACTTTGAAGAACTTGGTCCTCTCGATACGAATTTGAAACCAAGGAATTATACGTGGGTAGGATTTGCTTTTTTTCTTTTGTTTTCTTTTTTCTCCTCTATCGAACATTTCCAAATAAGAATAAATATTATAGAAATATACATTGAATATTTACAAAAAAATGTCTCTTTTCTAACAGATTAAAAATTACAATGTTTTGTTCATCGATAATCCAGTTGGTACTGGATTTAGTTATGTTGAAAATTCAGAAGCATATGCTCGAACGAATGAACAAATTGCTATTGATCTCGTTGAATGCATGAAAGGTTTTCTAAAAAAATTACCTAAATTTTCTAATGTACCTACTTATATTTTAACCGAATCGTATGGTGGAAAAATGGGGGCTGAATTTGCTCTAGTTTGGTATAAGGTCTGCTCCCTTTTTTTATTTTCCAATTTGTTTTATATCATAGAGAAAATGATATATATATATAATATAATATAATATTATATAATATATTAAATTTACAGGAGCAGCAAGCAGGTACTATTAGAAGTAATTTAAAAGGGGTTGGTCTTGGCGATGCTTGGATATCTCCAATCGATTCTGTCATGACTTGGGCACCTTTTTTACTTAGCACGGTAATACTATTGGATAAATTGTCTCATGATTATAAACGATCGATCATCGTAACTGCCAAGTTAATATAAGATAAATTTCATATTTCATTTCTTTAGGGTATGATCGATTCTAACGGTTATAAAAAAATTGAAATATCAGCCAAAGCAACTAAAGATGCAATTAATAATGGTCGATGGTCAATGGCCACTACTTTATGGAGTCAAACAGAAAATGTCATTCTCAAAGTTACGGATAATATCGATTTTTATAACATTCTAACAAAATTGTCTCCTGCCCACGATCGTTCTCGAATTCTAGGATTGTCATCAATTTATACAGTAGGAGGTGATCTTATTTTATCGATTCTATGAATAGGACAATTTTATAAAAAAAAAAAACAAAAATAGAAAACAATATTCTGAACTCTTCGATAACATTAGTAAATTATTATTAAATGTCAGCTTCGCGTTAACGTATTACAATACAAACAACACAGTTGGATAATGATAATAATAATAACTCGTTGACGAAGTACTTAATTCAACTAGGTTTGCAAAATAACATATACATTCAAATTCAAAAGGTAATCATTTGAAAAGCATGATAGATAGATATATGTGGTATTGAAATCCTTACATCAAGAATATTCGCACAATGGTAACTTATGAATAGATCTGACAATAGTCGGTCTATTCAAACTATTCCAACTGATGAAATACGAGAGATACTTAAACAAACATAATAATAATAATAATAATAATAATAATCTGATTATATACCACAGATGCTAAATATCACAATTTGATTCAACAAAATGGTAGAAGTTTAGAGGATTTAATGAACGGACCAGTAAAAACTGCACTCGGTCTTAAAAATTTTCATGGTAGACAATCTAATATGGTGTTCGGTATGTTGATGGAGGATTTCATGAAACCGGTTGTCGATAAAGGTAATTACTCTTGACACAATTGTAATACATGTACGTTATACAATAAGAAGTTAAAATATCTCACAATGAAATTATTTATCAAAAGAAAAAGAGAGAGAGAGAGAGAGAGAGAGAGAGAGAGAGATTATATATCTTCGATAATTTTTCTTGCTGTTATGTGTGTGTTGCGATAATAATAATAATTATTATCTTTTGTTAATTCCAAGAGAGAATACGCTTTCAAATGCTTTTAGATAAAATGTTCATTTAACCGTACGAGAGTAAATTAAATATCACGGAAAGCTTAAGTATATATTATTTATTATCTCCGTCGAGTTAGATAAAAATATTACTTCAGTGTTACGTGTATGTACATAAAAAATGTTATCGTATTTTATAGTGGAACTCTTACTGAACGAAACTAACATCAATGTGTTTGTATACACCGGGCACATGGACCTCATCGTTGATACGCCAGGCATACATTTTTCATTTATATTACGTCTTCTCTATATATTTTCTTTTTCTTTTTGGATCAAATATTCGAATAAGATTAAAAATTTGTAGGCACAGTACTTTGGGTTGATAATATGAATTGGAAAAATTCTTACAATTGGCGTAACGCTAAAAGATTGTCATTGGTTTCTGATCGCATTATCGAAGGTTACTCTAAAAGTTACAGTAATTTTGGATTATATTGGGTCAACCGAGCAGGACACATGGTATTACGTATATTTCTTATAATAATTTGTTTTAAACGTATTAGTCGATGATTATAAAACTGATCTAATTATTGTTAGTCATATATTTTTTGTTTAAAAACAAATAATAGATATTCCAATATATCTGGGTTTCAATTATTTAAAAATGTTTTTCTTATAATAAAACAATTATAGAATAATTAAAGTTATTTCTACGTAAGCATTTTTTATCTTATAAAAATTATATAAATTAAATGCGAACACTTTTCGTAGGAAACTCCGTAGAAATATATTTTACAAATTTTTAAAACCCCATACACGAAAGATATCTTATATTTATTTTTCAAGAAAATATTCGTGTGACTCTAAAATATGTTTCTTAATAACTTAAATAACTTATGTTAGATTAATTTTATAATTATCGACTCACATATTAAATAGAAAATCTTCTAAATATCTAAATAAATTTTAGGTACCAAAAGATAATCCTGCAGCCATGGCACAGATATTAAAAGATTTGACAGCAAATGCATATACTAAATAATTTTGATAATTATTTGTAATACAGAAATAATCCTGCCACACACCCTATACCTTAAAAAAAATATTTTCAAAGGAAGTGGACCGTCGTACACAGCAATATTGTTTACTCTATTTACTTAAATATTAACATAATCGATTATCGAAATCGGAATAACTAAATTCAAAGCCATGGTGTGTTGCTTTATTTAACAGAATCAACTAACCGATTGAATTTTTACTGTGCTTTCCACGCAAAATCGATAAACTGACAGCATATATATATACTTATGTATATACACATCAGGAAAAAAGAAATATTCATAGTATAACAAAAATTGTACTAAAATGTTAACTGCAAAACATGTCAAAGTTCACAAAATGTCAGACGAACGATGGACCAAGAGAGACAAAATAAATCAGTATCGTGGAGTTCTTAAGTTATATGGTTAATTAATAAAATTTTGTAAATGAATATAATTAAACAAAACTCTAAAATTATGTTTTTATTTTTTTTTTTTTTTTAATTTGTTTACCAATGAAATAATTTCAACCTTTTTCTAAAGAAATGCAAAAAATAATTGTCATACATTAAATTATATTTTGTCATAGATCGAGATAAAAAGATTCGTTCATTGGAATTAATTAAATTGAAGCAAAGAGTATCGAAAAATTTGAAATCTATACGAACGGATGTTCGAGAGTATCGCGGTATTGTTCATGACGTTGTAACTGGAAATAAAACTCATCTTTTAGCGATATTACAACAATATGATAACTTTCATTTAGCTTTTGGTCAACTCAGTAAAGACGTAATATAATTTCTCGATATTTTATTTACTTAATAAATCAAGATTGTTTTAAGAAAGAATTTTATACAAATTTTCTATCCACATTTTGAGATTCTATCAAAAATGAAATATAGATACTTCGAGAAGATAACTTCGAGATGTTTTTTCTTTGGGACGATATTTTGAAAAGATTTAAAATCTCAATTTTGTTTGATACACAATTTACAAAACTTTGATTAAAACGTTTTAAAGATTCATAGCTCACTTAAACTTTATAAATTCACAATCGCTGTTCGGGAACATAAACTAACTTTTCAAAAGGCATTCAAAAAGTACTTAAAACTTTCAATGTTTTAGGAAATTCACGATAGAATTTATCAAAACAGTGAATTATACCATCGACAATTGGACAAAATACGTTACGAGAAAGAAAAATTGGCTAAACAATATTTCGATTTACAAGTACGTCGCGTTTATTAGAAAAAAGTAAAATATTTAAACTATTGTATTATTCATTTTATCTATTTGATTTTATTATATTATCAAAAAATAAGGTTGAAAAATGTGTATTACTGGAAGAAGAGGGTCAAGAAGTTCAAACAGATCATTTGCATCAACGTTTGTCTGCACATTTGCAACGCTCAACAGCTAAACAAAATGGTGCTAAAGCCATACGTACAACTTATATAACGATGATTAACATTTTAAAAAAAGTACGTGTTTCTGCAGGGTTTTGTAAAATTCTTATCTTTCTCATTAGAGATTTTTTGATTGTTCCTTTATGTTTTCGTTTTAATATGTAGGATACAGTATATTTCGATGCACTTCTTAATGCTTTGAAAGATGATCAAAAGGATCAATGTAAGGTGATAGTAAAAGCAACAGTAATGGGACAATTGGGAGCAGAAAATGTTGATGATTTAAAAGAAAAATATAAGATAATAACTCGAGATGTTTTAAAACATATGAAAGAAAGAGAACGTACTTTAATTACAGCTCGCGAACGTGTTACCGATCTATGGGGATATGCAAAATCTTTAGTTAGAATCGAAGTAAGTAACTATTATATTTTTTACATTATATTTAACACACCCACACACGCGCGTGCATAATGTAGGGGTATATTTTTATTTGATAAAAATTAAATTAATAACATTTGTATAAATTTGATTAACTGAAATAGGCTTGTTTTTTGACACCTCGTAATGATGTTATATCTAAAATATAAATGCAGTCCTGAAACATCAAGTTTTCGTAACTTGAAAAGAGGGATGACATTAAGATGTTATATTTTCCACTGCTTTTTCATTTAAAGTGATTAATTAGATTCTAAGGAAAGTATATAAGTAAACATACCGCATTCACAGAGCAACGAAGCTCTTATTAAGAAAAATGCCAACTTTAAGGGGAAATCTGATCATTTAGAAAGTCAACTTAAACGTTTGGAAGAAATTTGTGAAATATTAAAAGATACCGTTTTAGTTAGAAGTCATAACGAATTATTTCCAAGGTATGTGTAAAAAGTAATGAATATATCTAACAATAATACATTGATGAGAGATGATGATGATGATAATTTTATCACATTCATTTGAAAATAATAATTATAACAATGCACAGACTCGAAGAACAAATGAAACAGAAGAAACGTTTGATTAATCAATTTAATTATAATATCAAAGAACGCAATAATCTTGTAATTAAAAAAGAAGAATCTATTATCCTTCTTGAAAAGCTTGAACACACGATGTTATCAACAACAGGGCAGTATGTAGACTTAATTAATAATTGTAGACAATTATAAATAAATAAAAATTTAATCTCGTAATTGAAAATAAATTAAACATATAAATCGTTTCTTATGATATTGTTAGATATAGGATAGATAAAAAAGCTTTGTTGGAAGAAATTGAAGCTCAAAAGAAACGTATTGGTGATTACAAAGAATTAAGAAGATCTCATGGTGAATTATCAATGAAGATAAGAGCGGCATTACAAAATATGTTACTTATGCTTGTCTGCATCAAACGTGGTAAAGTTGAAAGAAGACAGTTGAAAAAGACGAAGAGTATAGATGAGTTAGATGAGGATGAACCTATCTTAGATAAAATTGAACCGGATGGTTATTAATTTATATTCGAGTTTCTCGTAGTTGAAGAAAATCTTTTTTTTTATATATTATTATATAAAATAATATATAAAGAATATATAGAATATTGTAATATATATATATATATATATATATATATATNTAAAAAAGAGAGAAATTGTTTATGCTCATTTAATATTTTAAATTCACATTAAAATTGAATGTAAGTAGATAGGTTAGTATATATACGTACTTATGTGTGTTATGTATAAAAAGAATAGTATATGAATATCGTTCGATATAGCAATCCTAATTGAGGTTAGGATATTTAATTTCATGTAACTAAAGTGTGAGATATGGCAGGAAGGATTTTTCGTTCACTTTCCACTGATTTATTAAATATTAATGGTCAACAAATTCGATATGGTCATCATATACGTGGAAAACCTCCAACAATTGCTCGTTCATTAGAACAACGACTGGCATGTAAATATTTCTTTGAATATATTTAATTATTTTGTTATATTCACACACACACACACATACACACATTTTGACACATGTGTTTTCAATATAATTTGATCATTAAATATAATATTTATAATAATATATTTCATCATTACTTTGATATATTTATTTAAATATACTATTTGTTTTCAGTGGCAGAGAAAAGAGAAGAGTATTTAAAAAATCAAGTTAATATTGGTTTATCGTTTACTACAAAATCTAAGAAGACATTGATGAAAGAATGGAATGCCGAATTAAAAGCTAATGAGAAGAATTCTGAATTAGAGAAAAGTTCACGTAAATTGGCAAGTAAGTGTGTTAAATATGATTTCAATCATTTAATGTAATTTTCAATTTTTATACTTTATCAATTCTTTAAGTAAATATCACTCAACTTTTATAATCTTTCTTTCTACAGTAAATATCGATTTAGAAAAAGCTAGAGAGATTTGGTGGGAAACAAATGGGCCAGAACATACTTATAGAATTGCAGAACATTACGGAGTCTATCAACATTTGTATAAAGATGCATTTTTTTACCCGGTTATACAATTACAAATAGATTATGATTTAGGAATAGAGGATGTACTCGCTAGAGTTTATACTGGAAATGTAATTAAACCGAGTGAAGCTAAAAACCAACCTACCGTTAACTATATTGCTAGCTCAGATACGCTATGGACTTTATTAATGACTACACCAGATGGAAACTTTACGGATCCTTCTAACGAATATTGCCACTGGTTTATGTAAGCTTCTATAATTTATATACTTTTTATATTACAATCGTGAGAACACATTTTTTGATAGATTATATTTAATTATAGTGGAAATATACCTGGAAATGACATTGCAAAAGGAGAACAACTAGTCGATTATTTAAGACCAATACCATCGCGTGGTATTGGATACTGTAGATATATATTTGTATTATATAAACAGGACAAACGTATCGATTACACAAAATATAAAAAGGAACAGCCTTGGTAAGGAAATATACTTTTTAATATACTAAGTTTGAAATTTATATTTATAAATGTATCTAATAAATGTATTTTTATGATACGTTTCAGTCTAAATTTATTGGAACGTGATTGGAATACATTAGAATTTTATAGAGAATATCAAGATTATTTAACACCAGCAGGAATAACATTTTTCCAATCGGACTGGGATCAATCTCTTACTGATTTTTATCATTATAATTTACGTATGTATTAATATTATATTATTTATATAGATTATTTATATAAATTGATTGAAATGAAAATTTTACTATATGTATTTATAGAAATGGAAGAACCAGTGTTTGAGTACGATTTTCCAAAACCATATCTAAGGCCGCAGGAATGGTTCCCCCGAAGACGAGCTTTTAATTTATATTTAGATAGATACAGGGATCCAAAAGAAATAAATAAGGAATTTTTATTAAAGAAATTGAAAAAGGTTCATCCATTCAGAAAACCAGAACCACCATTGAAATATCCAAATGCTCATGCATTGGACAAATCTATGCCTTCTTGGTTGAGAGTAGAAACGAAAAAAGAAAGACTAGGATGGGGACGTATTAATAATATAAATGAGTAGTATATTTATAATTAATATACTTTTTCTTTATAATACATAAAATATAATAATAATAATAATAATAATAATAATATTAAAAAAATATGTGCGTAGAAACATTTCACTATATTTACCTAAACTAGCATAAATATTAGCCGTGTGTGTGATATAGATTAAAAATTTTCCAAAATGGTTAAATATAATAAATAAATCTTTATATTAATATAAATTATTCAGGTTTCAAATTAGCTTCTACCATTTTTCTACTTCGTGCTTTGACATCAGCTCGAGTTAATACATTTGGATCTATGATTTCATGTTCGACGATCAGAGCTGAAATAATAATCGCGTTTAATATATATATAATATTTAATTTTTATTAGCTGAAATTTAACTTTTAAAATTTATAATTTTTCGTGAAAAATTCATAATTAATTATTTTAATGTAAATTACTCTTATACATTTTAATATTTAGGAATCTCTTATATATACATATATGATTAAAATAAATCTTTACCTGGCTCTAATATATCCTTTCCAAATTTGAGATTAGAGGAATAATCAGCGACATAACTTTGATATAAGTTTCTTGCTTTCTCATCCTTTTCTTTGTCTAATTCAAAATTGCTCATTCCGAAAAGAGAACCCATTTTTCGACTAATTTGTGCTAGTAATACTAAGCCTAAAAAACATATATATATATATATATATATATATAGTAAAAGTAATAAACCTAATTGTATAAAAATATTATAAATATATAAATTAATTCGACATAGAGTTATATTATTATGAATTTGAATAAGTTAATTCATGTTTATCGAAATGAATAACAAAATATAATTTATATATTTTGATAATGTTTTATTTATATAATAGATAGTTTTTCTAAGTAAATAATATTCAATAACAATATGATCGATAGAAAATAGTTACTATATTAATAATCATAATTTCTAATTGTAAATAAAATGATGGTATCATTAGTATGAAATTTACAATTAGATTGTAAATGAAATAACAATTGAAGCTTGGAGATTGAATTGTTTGAATTTTTGGCGGGTTAATGAATAATTGTTAAGAGAGCGCAGTCTACAAATGGCTACCGATACAACCAACGATACGAAGCAGTCTTATTTTCTCTATGATAATTTACGATACTGAAAGTGCCGAAGGAAAACGGTGATTGATGTTTCGAACGCGTTTAATCGCAATTAAAACTTTTCGCAATTTTCTAATAATTGCGATAACTCGTTTCCCGCGGGAAAGCAATGTCTGGATATCGGAAAGTTAATTACTACGAGCTGTGCAGATTGTGTACCAGCAGCGAAGGCAATAAAATGAACATATTTCGCGATGAAGGTCGCAGGCGACAACTTCAAACAAAAATTCAAACATGTTTACCCATTCAGGTGAGGAAACATGCTTTTGACATGAAATGGACTTGTTCTTCGCGGTATCAAAATTGCTCTGTTTTTAGACTACAGCAAGCAATGATAGAAATTATAAATTACTGTAACATTCCGTCCACTGCTAGAAAAAAAAAAAATAATAATAATAATAATAAATAAAATATGAATATACATATACATACATATATATATATATATATAAATAAATAAATAAATAAATACAATAAAGAAGTTTATAAGAAATTCTTAAGTATGCCTAAATTCAAATGAAAATTCTCTCTGTAAATTCAACTTAATGAATTTACGTATAGAGAAGCATATAAGGTTTTTCAATATATTAAGACAATTCCATATTCGTGTGAACTTCAAGGTTTTAGAAGAGGATTCGTTACCTAAAATCGTCTGCCACGAGTGTGTCAGGAAGTTGGAAAATTTCATTGAGTTCCGAGAAACAGTTGTTAGTGCAGAGGGTATGCTGGAGTCATATTTTACTTCGCTCCGCTATTCTGAGGATTTTTTAAAAGAAGGTAAAGTGTATGTCAAAAACATTGAGAAGGAAAGATCTTCCACTCCTGATGCTGAAGGTTTAAAGTCAGAGGAGAAAATATTAGGAAATGCAGGAAATCAAGTTCTAACTGATGAACAACATGGACAACATCAACAACCCGTTGTCGTTAGCAATATCAATGCATCAAATATACAAATCATCAGCGGTGTCCAAGCTAGGGTACAACAATATAAATGTGCCATGCAGGTTTGTTTCTAATGTAATAATTAAATAATTTTAATTAAATTTCTTGCTTATGTATGTTTTGTATATCGTAGATATTTCTAATGTGTTTATATATACCTATATATTGTTATTACTAGATTAATTAATGTACTTTAGAATTTCTAAAAATAATTGCTTTTCATTTTACTTAGATGCAATCAAATGGTGATATGTCAGCTGCAGTTGTAGAAGCTACAGCAGAAACTCATTACAGTTGTCAACAACAAACATCTCAACATGTATCGCCTCAAAGATCTAATGAAACACAAAATGAAATAAGTGAACAGGCAACTCAATCGCCTCAAATCCAAACTACAAACCAAATACAAAATCATAATCAAGTGGTACAACAAGGACAATCTCAAAGACAAATTTCACAACAATTAACTCAATCTACTCAAATAACACAACAAAATCAGACTCAGCTTAATCATCATCAACAAGAACAGTCACAGATAACTCAGCAGATACACCATTTGCAGAGACAACAAAGACTTCAACAAATAGATAAACAACAAGTGCAAATAGCTACACCGCAAGAATTTATTGTGAAACAAGAGTCTTCGCCACAAGTTCAACAAAATAATAATATTATACTTAAAGCAGATACAGAGGTCGAACAGAATCAACAAATAATACAAAAAGTTACAGATATCCAAAAAGATGAGAACGCATCTCCTTGCCAAAATTATACGACAGTACAGGCTGCTCCAGAGGTATTTTTAAGTTTAGGATTTAAAGAAACATCTTTACCCAATCAATCAGTTCAAGATGAAGGAAAAGATTTTAAAGACTTTACTAAAAGTGAAGATGTTATGTCCCGCACTTCCATTGGACAAATATCAGAATTTCTTAGAATCAGATCAGGCACTGAACAGGCACCTTTAATTACTGTTAATCCTCAAGCTATATCACAATCTAATAGGAGTAGTCTATGCCGTAGTTGTGGTAAAAATTTTTCATCCGTAAGTTCATTGAATAGTCATACTTGTACACTGATGAGCGAAGGATCTGATGCAATAGTGAAAGAAGAAACTTTACAAGTTAATGGGAACTCTTTTAATTGTGATATTTGTGCAAAGCCTTTCAAAAGAAAAGAACACTTATTTCAACATCGAAAACTACATACTGGCGAACGTCCGTATGTATGCACAACATGTGCTAAAGCTTTTAGCCGTAAGGAACATTTAGTTAGACATTCTGTATCACATACAGGTGAAAAAATGCATGAATGTGAATTGTGCGGCAAAAGCTTTTCACGCAAGGACAATCTTCACAAACATCGTAAAACCCATGGTGTAGCAGGTCCTTATATTTGTGAAACTTGTGGAAAATCTTTCATGGTGAAACATTATTATGTGATGCATTTAACAATGCACGCATCAAATATTACAGATGGTAGCTGTCAAGATCCTTTGCCATATAAATGTGACATGTGTCACAAAGCATTTGCCGTTAAACAGTACCTTACTGCACACAAATATAGACATAGAAAGAATAATAATAATTCTGCACAGAACACTTTAAATAGGCACCAGCAACAACAATCGCAACAATCTAATAATACTGTCAACAGCATTAATGTTGCGGGGAATAATGTTGCTACGTCAGGAAATATTAATGACAATAATGGCCAGTCAAGTAATGGGCCTACAGTGGAAATACAAAACGTTGTTGAAAGAAGTGAACAGACTAATGGTTCATTTAATAATAGTCAATATCATAATAATATACAAGAATTTCAATGAGATAAGGGGAAGCGTGTCTATTATGTTCTCTTGCCAAATGGTAACAATCATAAGATTGTAGTTGTATAGGCAAAAGAAATTTTATGACGCGCTAGAATATTTTTGTTAGTTTATTTTGTTCTCGATTGTAAATGTTTTGTACTTTGATATGAGAAATCATAACTAAGAAAATATTATTTTTAAAGTAAGTTAAGGCTTTGACTCAAACGATGTCTTTATAAAATTGGCAAAACAAAAGTCCAAGTTTTAACTAGGCTCCTATTCATTTGTAAGTAAAAAAAGTAGACATTATAAGAGCTTTCTGTACGTACGTAAGTAACGTGTATATATACACATATATTCTTTAAGCAAATTATTATTTATGAAGAATATATATAATACTTATAAATAATGTGTTAAACAAAACACATAAATGGATACAGGTGTACAGTTAAATTAAAAATAAGAAACATTAAATAATATTTAAAATGATCAAAAACATATGATGGTCATGAGGTTGTTTCAACACCTAATTTGGATTACATTTATTACCGTATTCAAACTTTGATAACAATTTAACAAAAATAAAATATACGTTTAATATCATTTATAATTATACAAGAAAAATTGCACGCGATAATATATATTAAATTAACAACTAATGTATACTGAATATAAATGTGCCAATAATGCCAATAAAAAGGATCAAACTTTTAAAAAATCAATAATAATACAAATATAAAAAGATACTACTCTATTTTATTTATATAAAAAATATTAGACTAATTATCAGTTGTTGAATAGATAATGTATCAAAATACTCGTAGACTCATATTTTCTTTCGTAACGATAAAGAAAGAGAGAGAGATCAAGTTATTAATAATTTTATATATAAACCTATAGAAATTTTATTTTGGATTCCAATTCATAATACGCCTCGCATATATTACACGTCAATTATCAGAATCACCATAAAGCAGCCCTATTCGAATCAGTGATTGTAACAATCCATGACAGTTAGAGGAAGATATGTTTATATGCAAATTTAGAGAGTATTGAACGAGAAAAATAAGACCAAAGAAATTTATACATATATAAAATAGAGATAAATAATGTTTTATTAGTAAAATAGAAATGAGAGAGCAGGGCACAGAATTAAAATACCATTGAAATTCCCTGTATTAATAATTTCTTGTTAAGAGATATTGATTGTCATTTCACATGTGTGTGTGTGACAATATTGTCTCATATAGATTCTATACGATACGCGTGTACGTAGAGACATTATGTTAATCTTTCATTTTCACAATATATTGCGTGCAAGTGAAAATGTAAGGGTAAGAGCACAAATTATAATAATGAGTATGTGTAAGGTTTCATAACAACAATAACGACAAAAAGGAAAAGAAAGGAAAAAAGAAGGATGAATGAACAACGCATGTGTGTGTGATTATAAAATTTTAGTAAAGATTTAATCTGCTACTGACCAAAAGAAAAAAAAAGAAAATAAATAGTAATCATGTATTTTTATCCTTTAGGTTACATTTAGTGAACAACAAAATTAGCTCATTAATCAAACCAGTTATTTTTATTTATATATATTAAAGTAGCCTTGCATTTGTTATAATCATGAAATAAAGAGGTGAAGGCAACCCTTCATAAAACTGTAGAATAAAGAGTTTACTACAGTTTATAATTATATAAGAACACTATATTTCAAAATTATAGGATTCTGTGTATACACAAATTGTCACAACACTTATTTCGCCATATTTTCTTTATACTAGACTTTATACTTGTAAAATAATAAAGCACATAGTGTGCATACTATCTGTGCAGTTTCAATTTTTCTTGTGCTGAATATGTTGATAACCTTGATTTATCAAACATCATTATTTACTATGCAAGTTTATATAAAAATATAATAAGTTTTTGGTTTGTAACTTTTCTCTTTGTATATTATCAATATTTTTATTTATTACGAACAAATAATTTCAAGTGCATTTAAAAGCGTATTTTAAATCTTCTATAGTACAAAGAATTCATTTTCACTTAATACCAAATTGTACAGAATAGATATGTGTATATGTGGTGTCAGCTATTATAAACCAAAGACTGAAATTTGCCATTATTTTATTAGTAGTATAAAGCAAACGTTTCAATCAATACGTCAATATGTTGTTTTCATCAATGAAACATACATTTTTAATAGCAAGATAAAAGTTGTATTTTTTTTTATAAATTCTTTGAACATTGTATACTTGAATAATTTATACATTTAAAAAATGAATATCATCAAGTTTAAACCTTTATCTTTCTTGGTAAGAAAATTTATTGGTCGCTCTTATTCTTTATAAATGAATTTATTACTTAATAATAACAAATATTACAATATACAAATGTATTGTGCTTAGTTGGTGATCAATAATATTCAATGTTTATTCTCTATTATTAATATATTTGTAAGTATTCAAATATATTATTTCAAAGAGGAAATTTAATGGTTGAAAGAATTTTTTCTCCAAATCATTTTGTTATGACATTTCAAAGTTATCAATGTTTCTTTAAATAAAATCCTATATTTTTAAATAAATAAATAATCGAAATGATATAGTCATAAAGATCATTTTAATTCGTTTTTTCATGCTTTTCAAGAATATTGCAAAAAAATTATATATACCATTGAGCTGCATATAAAAAGCAGTACTATTTTTTCCTTTTATTGTTTTTAAATATTATTTACAAGAAAAACGCTGGCTAGTAATAATGTAAACACCCTGTATATTTGGATAATACTTTATGATGTTTCTATTATATATATATATATACAACATAAAATATATATTGTGAAATATATTCCATAAAAAATAAAATGCAAATTATTTGAGTATAAAATAAATTTATGAATAATTAATTAACTGTGTGACTATGACATCGTTTTCGATTGATTTACTATATCGCTCGTTATTTAATATAATTAAACAAATTCGGATTATGATTCTCTTTTATAATGCATACCACTTTTAAAGATTTTATTCATATATGTAAAAGAATAAAGATATTCTACAAATGTATATAAATCATATATGCACTTCACGTAAATATTTATATACGCGTGTATACAATATAACATGCAACTAACCAATGAGATCAGTTAAACCTAAGTCATTGTTAGTGCATTTGTCTCATCGCAAGATAGCGCTCAAGTATGCTACCGCCATATTTTTTTTTTCGAATTAATTCGACGTGCTTGTGTTTAACTGTCCTTACGACAATTTATTGAATTCAAATTAAATTTTATATACGACGCTGCGAATAATCTAGTGTTATTTTATTTTATATGTTTAAGAATGGCTTTACGTCGTCGTCGAGGCAATAATTTCACTCATTCTTTAAACCATTTTCGTAAGTCGTTATATATATTTTAAATTATAATTATAAATATTTTAGATAAACATATGCATTTTAACTTCTACTAAGAACACTTAACGAATGTCTAATATAGATTAGATGATTATTATTTTATTATGTTAATTAGTAAATTCACCATTTCAGAATCACTAAGTCCAAAACCAGTAGTTGGAAAAAAATGTGACAATAATTTATCCAAAGGTAAGAGTAATACAAAAAATGAATTTGCAATAGAAAACGATATGGAAGATCATTCATTAACATCTCCAAATAATATGAAATTTGGCAACATATTGTACGCGTTGGATGGCAAATTAAATCCGACAGAAGCTGAGTTAACGAAACAAGAAATCTATAGACGTCTTTCTGACAAGTATACTGCTTCACCGCAGAAGTTTACTGAAAAATTAATAACCATTATCGAAGAGTCTATTATAAACAATACTATTAATGCCAGCAATAATTCTCTTGTTAATTTTGATAAAATAAGTAAAGAATTGAACAAAATGTGTAATATAGAAAATGAATCTATGCCAGAAAAATTGCTTTCTACTACGATAAATGTATCACCAAGTAGAGAAGTATCGACAAATTTTAGTTCTTTTAATTCAACTACGAACAATGAGGATTTAATAAATCTGGATTCTCCTGAAACAGAGACACCAGAATTAATTAACTCTAGGAAAAAAGTTTATCGTAAAACACCGATAAGTATTTTTAAAACACAAAAAAACAAGCTACGTGATGTATCTCCTGAACCATCTCTCTTGAACCCTAGAAAAAAAGTTTATCGTAAAACACCGATAAGTATTTTTAAAAGACAAGAAAACAAGCTACATGATGTATCTCCTGAACCATCTAATTCTGCTGACTCATCATTTGAGTATTTAGAAGCTCAATGTAAAAGACTATTCCCTAATGAAAGAAAGAATTTGTTATCTATACCTCCAGTAAAAGATAATAATTTGTTAAATATGGATCGTGTATTTTCTATTTGCGAAAAACAGATGGCTTCATTGGACAGTACAGACGATTTAAAGATTAAAAAGAAAAAAAGAAGTTCAATTCTAAAGTCAGAACCAAAAAGTGAGGATTCGGATAGTTCTTACATATATTCAATACCAGGAAATTCTATTTGCAATGACAAAGATAGAAATGAAAAAGTAACAAAAGTAACTAATAAAAAACGCAAAAATGATTCGGATTCTGAATACTTGAATAACACTGATGATTTTAGTAAAACACTTTTGTCAGAAATAGTCAAAAAAAGACGTAGATGTTTCGACACGGCAAAAAAAATGATGGAAATTAATTCAGCATGTAATATAATCGAAGAACAAAAAAAAACAAAATCTAAGAGTAAATCAATATTAAATGTTAATTCTAATAAACCATCTGATAATAGTTCTCAGTTTATGAAAATGTTAATGTCGTGTGAAGATTATCATAATTATTTGGACAATCAGTTAACAGTGTTAGATGCATCTTCTTTAAACTCTACGTTTAATTCAACTCTAACCATACCAGATGAAAAGAAAGATATTAATATTAATGTAATTCCAAGTAAGAAGAATGTATCTTCATTATCCAGTTCTATGTCTTATAATGAAAATTATGAAAAAGTTTTAGCAAGATGGAATATTTGTGAAAACAGTAAAAAGAAACTCGAAACAGTGGAGAACAATATTAATAATGAATCTAAGTTTTTTACGACATCTGGTAAATTGTTTACGAATGGAAGACGAAAGCGAAAAATGTATTTTTCAGATTTAAGTACTTTGAAAAAACAATCATCATCACCGAAAACCGTGATCAATCATAATTCTAATTATAATACTAATTGTAAGTTATTGCCAGGGTTTAAGTATAAAGTTGAATCTAGAAAGTCTAGTAGAAGACTGTCTTCAAGAAAATTATCTAAACTCAATGCCACACCTAATAAAAATAAAGAGAATGAAAAAGAGAATTAATATACAATAATTAGATTTAAAAGTACCTGATAAAAATCTATATTTGTTAATTTATTTTTTTTTCAATAAACTTGTTTGTCGGTTCGTCAAAAGATTTTATATATCGGAAACTATAACATAATTATATTTAAAAATTATACTTAATAACAAATATATAATTATAAAATATAAAGATAACAATGGCAGCATTTTTACAAACAACGAAATATGCATTCTAATAATTTTGATTGATTTTATGTATGATATTATAAAAAATAGTTTAATAAATATAATGTAAAAATTGTTATATTATAATAGTACTATGCAATAATATTAACAAGTATATTTGTTTTATAAGATATAGTATAATTAAATATATTTGTAAATAAAGATGACAATTATTATTTCAATTTAGTTTAAATATTCATATATATACTCGATGGTGCTTAAAATCCAAATAATTAATTAAATATAATCATTTAACAATAAGATAAAACACACTAGACTGTTCCAATTAAGTACTTTTAATAAATACGTACATATAAGATTTATTAATATATAATTTAGCGCGCATTTATTTTTATTAATTTTTACTATAATTATTCCAGGGTCATTTATATGGAATATTTTTTTAGAAATATTATATAGAATATTTTTTATTTATAAATTATAAATTTTAAAATGTTAAAAGTTACGATTTTCACTTTTTTTTTTTACAGTTTATTTAGTAATAATTTAGTATCTAGAATTTTTTGAGTTAAAACGCGCAACAAGTTGACAACCTGCTGAACAAGGTACTGTTGACAGTTGGACGCAATAGATCGAAATTTGTTTTTGTCCTTTTCTCTAATAAATATAAGTTTAAAAAAAGTTTGAATACTTTCTAATTAATAATTTATTTTCATCTACAATATGGGGAATTTGTGTGGATCTTGTTGCAAGGAATCATCATCGTATGAAGATTTAACACCTGATTTGGTATGTATATTAATTTCTAAGGTTATACGGGTACTCTACATTTATTATATTATGTACATAATCACGGGTATGTACATTCGGCTATTAATATTCTTATTAATTAAATATATGTATCCCTTAGATGAATTTTAATTAAATTTTATACAATTTTACATTATAAAATATAAGTTGTTACTTCACATGAGAAAAATTTGTAAACAAATTTGATAGTCTTACAATGGATGCATCAAGATTTTTATTATGGTTCCTTCATACAAATTTAGTTTTTTTAGGAAACAAGACGACGGATGCAAATGGAAGCTGCAGAGAAAAGATTAGCGGAACAAGAACAACGAGGTATAAAAGATATTGAATCGGTTAGAAGGAAACAGAAACATGCGTTGGAAATTGCAAAACGGGAAGAAGAAGCTGGTAATATGAGTGGACAAAATAAACTAAAGGTATAGAGTATAATTAATCTAATGTGGAAAGCTTAAAATTTATTCTTCATGTATTAATATTTCTAACATAAGTTAGAAATTAAATTAATATAAATTATTTTTAATCAGATTTTAATGAAAATGATTTATTCATTACAGTGGCAAGTGAATTGAATGAAGAAAATGGATACATGAAAAAAGTGCACTTAATTAAAAAACGAATGATTTTATTTATATTACAATGCTTTGCATAAATATGCAGAAGTTACTAAGATATCAGTAAAATGTCTCATTGGCTATACGATTTATAATATTTAAAAACAAATATTAAAGCGTTTAGAATTTCTATTATTAAATAATATATTCTTTATTGAAATATAACATTTTTAATTGTCTTTATTTTGTACATTAGGTATGTTTGAGAAAACTTTCATTGCAAAACAAAGAAAATTTTTATTTATTTTAAAAGCATTTATAACAAATTGTATAATATTATATTCACTTAGATTATAGTTCATTTGTATCATTGTTAAAATTTTATTTTTTCTAGTATTTTTCAAAACAAGTATTTTATTTATAAGTCATATTATATATTCTTAATATATTACCGTTACACAAAGTTATTTATTTTTCTTTATAAATGTGTGGAAGAACATACAAAATTTTATTTCATTTTCTTCATTATAAGACTAATTCGAGCTTATTATTAAATATCAATACAACAACTAAATGTTACGTGTTAATCGTATCATAAATATGCACATTTTCAAAAATTATCCATGTGGTAGAGTCGACGAATATTAAATGTAAAATGATTTTTAGAACATGTATCAATCTGGAGAAAAAGAGACTAAACTTTTCGATTATTATTTTAAAATTAAATTCTATACTACTTGGGAACATAATAATTTTTCTAACACACAATAATTTATATTATTACGATGTTAAAGTATATATTTAAAATATATAGTATTAATATTGTAGCATAATCCTATTTAAAATATCTGTTATCTATTACGTTAGATTATACAGAGTATATTTTTTGTTATTAAACACACTCATACGATACGCATATAATCATTGATATAAATTTTTAAATAATATTACGTTATGTTTCCATATATATATCTATCAAATAGAAACTATTAATTGTTACGTTATATTAAATTGATTATCGATTGTTAAAAAACTATCCTAACTATTAGTTACGTAATAAATTATGTTCATTTAAATATTTGCGCATAATTTATTATAAGATACAAAATATCTTACATTAATAATAAAATATAAATTCGAGTTTCGAAATGATGCTTTAACTTAACGATAAATAATGATAAGTTAAAATAATTACGAACTCATTTGTTTCATTATAAATTTTCAATAATAATTCAAGGATAAATACACGTTTGTTAATTTTTAACAAGAACGGATATAAAAATTCAGTTAGAAACATAAGAATATCCAAAGAATAGAAAATAGAAAAGAGAGAGTAGAGTGGTAAAGTATGTCTTTTGTGCAAATTTGAATTTAAAAGGAAAAAAAGAAAAAGAAAAGAAACCGGTATTTGAACGTCCAAAAAATGGCGCGCAATTATTATCTATCTTTCTCTCTCCCCCCACCCTTTCGATCTTTATCTGAAGACGGCGCTGCAGTTTGGCGGCGCGAGAATCGCGAGAGCGCAAGCGCAGAATATAAGCAAGTAACTACTACGAACAGAAGAGTAAAGTAGTGGGGATACGCAGAAGGCGGTGCTTAGAGGGTGACTGGAGAACTGGAACGATACGGAATTCGGACCGGGACGTCGGACAAGGAGAGGCAAGGAGGAGAGTCGCAAGATGGCGAAACTGGGATGAAACGGTGCCGTATCGTGGGGGCGGTTAGTCGTCGATTTCTCACGGTAGACTGTGCATCCGTTATGTGCGTTATCACCGGCAACTTGACTTAACTCTCTACGCTCGATCGAGGTTTAGCGATCGAGATTTTCGATGCTGTACAAGTCGTATTATTTGATCGCGATAAAAGGCGCGAGGAAAAAAGAAGAAGAAGGAGAAGAAGAAGAAGTGTCGTATTCATCTTACTCTTCTTTCATTCTATTCTTCTTCTTCTTCTTCTTCTTATTGTTTTCTTCTTTCATTTCATTCTATCATTATTCTTTGGTGTTGTTTTTTTACTGTTGTTGGAAAAAAGAAGAAAAAGAAGAAGAAGAAGAAAGGGGTGAAGTCGGTCGCGCGGGAAGGTTGACTCTATTAAGTGATTTTATTCAAATAAAATAAACTAGAGAAGAAAAAAAAAAGAAAGTAAAAAGAAATTATAGGAAAAACATAGATAATTGGGGGGAAAGGGGGGAAACGTTTTGAAAGGGAAATTTCGCGTGTGTGCATTATTCCTGTGAAGAAGAATAAGAATAAGGTAAACAAAACGGTATGAGCGCGGTACTGAACAGTGTTGTTGGAGGTGGTGGAGGCGGTGGTGGAAGCAACGAATCGGCAACCGGTTTACTCGATCCCGACGTCGAAACCATCCTCGAGGAGAAAAATCAATTGATCAGCCGACAATATGCAGAAATCGAAAGACTTCAGAGAGAACTCAGAGAAGTCATCGGTGAACGTGATGCTCTCATCTGCGAGGTATCGAAATTCAAGTTCGAGCGCGAGATGACCGACCTCAAACGTCTTCACGATGATAGGTATGTGTCAGAATTTTATATATATATATATATATATTTGTTATTATCATTGTTATTCACTGTTTTTACATCTTTCACTTTTATATTTTATTTCATTACCATTTTCTTTTTATAGAAATTAACATTTCTATGTTATAGACAAAAATTAGAATCTTTCCTGTCATCTGTCTATTGTCTGTCTTTTTGGCTTGAATTAAGGATTGAGGTTGTTAATATCATTTTATTAAAACTTTAGTGGAAAATATATATGTAATTTTTACTTTATATATTTATGGAGATAATTTGTAATGAAAATTATTAGAAATTTAATAGAAAAATAAGGTAGTAAAATAAAAAAAATTGAGATAATAGGAAAGATTTGGAAATTCTTATATAGAAACTTTCTCCTATATACATAGAAAAGTTATAAATTAGTATTCTCAAATTCCCGACGGTTTTCATGTTCTACCTATGAAAGGAATATCGAGGTTAGGTTTTATTCGAAATTTCGTTCTGTATGACGTATGATTATATAGCTATAGCTGCACCTATGTCTATACCTATACCTGTATCTGTACCCGTACTCATCTTTATTACGATGAAAATATGTTATATGTAGTTAAGGATTTGAGTTTTCGTACAAAAGGAACGTATCTCAAAATTATATATATATATATTTATTTATTTTTTATAACTTTATATATGTTTACGTAGATAGAATGATAGAAAATTAAGTAGAATAATAGGATACCAAAATGTCGGCGAGTCACAGGAGTATTCGCGTTATCGCAAGTACTTGGGACACCCTGTATATTAATAATACATATATATATTTTTAGTTTGGATAAAAGAATCAGTTAATACGAAGAATCTCAACTTCTGTTATGTAAATATGAAGCGCGTTTGTTGTCATACAGAAGGTGGTATATAACACGCAGCCAAGCCATTCCCTCTTCTCCTTTTCCTCCTACTTTTCTTCACTTTTCGTTCTTTCGTTTAATCTTTGAACTGATCTCTCATACGGAGTAGCTTATCAGGGTTGTTATAATCGTGACATGTAGGATTCCCGAATAAGTAGAACTTGCATTTGACACTAACACTCCAAATATTGTCTATTGTCTCGAATTCGGTCAAATTTTTTCGATATATCGATCTTCTTATATATATAGAACGTATAGTATGAAAGTGGTGTGTTAATTTATTTTTGAAAAATATTTAGATAACATATAATTTTCATTAATTATGATTAAAATATTAACTAATTATTTATGGTCATCGAGAAATGACAATATTTTGTATTATTGCTTGATTTTTGTCTAGACAATTTAGGATACATACATGCTTTTTTTTTTAAAGAGATCATCACAAATAACTGTTGTGATTAAATAGCAAAGAAAATAGTAATTACTATACTTTTGGCCAGTAGAGTGTGTATACTCGTATAAATGTATGCGTGTACGAAGTGTTACTACGTAATACGACACTTTTAACTCTGATATCATGGCTAAGCAAAGATCACATATAAGCGTATTTATTTTTTTCTTTTTTATACGTATTTTTATTTACGAGATATACATACATGCATACATACACGCATACATACACGCGTATATCTTTACGTCTATGAGATACGCGTACGTAAAAATATATATATATGTTACACCGTCATTTTCAAAGAAATTGCAAAGATGCACAATTTACAGCATTGCATTCTCTGACATTTTTTGAAGTTTACATGCTAAATTTATAACTCGATATAGTATTCTAAGCGTAGACAAAAGAGTGTTCTTTAATTTAATATAAGTTTTATTAAAATCTATTCACTTTTAGTATAAAAAATATTTACCAAAACTTTTCAAAGAAATAGCAAAGTTGTACAATTTATAGCATTGCACAATCTCTGATATTTCTTTGAAAAGTTTGTGGGGGAGAGGGGTTGCGTATGGCTGTGTGTGTCTGTGCCCGAGAATGTATTATTTTCAACGTTGTTTAAATAGTAATTGAATATTCTATAGAATATCAAAGTATTATGTTCAATGCTTAGGAAAAATTAAGAATTCTTCTGTTTCCGACTTCATCGGAAGGTTCTTTGCATTGATGAGAATGCCGAGGAATTACTAGCAATGGCTTATTTCCAGCTATGACGGTAAACATATACACGAGACATACATTTTCTTACAATTTTATATACTTGCACGTATACGTACACATACAACCATACGTTTAAACAATACTGCACTCGCGATAAATATATAGATATAATTTTATCGTAAATAGAAATAACAAAATCGTAAGCTTTACTTTTTCAACGACGACGACGACGACGACTTTAATAATGTCGAATACATTATCAATCGTGACTAGTTTCCATCGATATATTTTATCGAATACAAATATAGATAAAATAGTAAAAAAAAAAAAATAAATGAACAGAAAAAAGGGAATATCGATCCCGGGATTCACGAGTGATGTCGGCCATAGTAAATTTGATAAGGAAAAGCAGAATTATCGAACGAAATGTTCTCTCTCTCTCTTTTTCTTTATATATATATGTACATTGGGATAGAAATCTTGTCAACATTTTCTTTTGATGAATCGATTTTCGAAAGAAGCCATTCCAAATTCGTACTAGAAGAATTTTCGATTTCCCGATGGGACAGTGAATCGAAAGCTTTCTTTCATCGACGCCCCCGCCATCATTTTTATTGTTCTCTTTTTTAAACAGAACGTTCCAGGTCTCCGATCGCATGCGAACTTGTATTATCGGGAATGACAATAAGTTAGAGTGAGATAGTAAATGTATATATTCATATATATGCGTATATTCTCTCACCCCCCCCCTCCCCCGCCTATAGTGTCAAAGTTATATCTTGCACTTTATTTAACGACCAACGTCGACAAATATAAAATACGAACGTTTACTACTTCTCACTTATTTATTTTTATTTTTCTTT